ATCAGTTTTTAAATTTTTAAGTGCTTTCTTTTCTTCAGAGGATAGAGATGAATCTCTGGGTACCTACAGAAGGGTACCTACAGAAGAAGAAAACACGACCACTGTAGCAAGAGTTTTATTTTCCTGACGTTTCTGATTCCGTCGGTACTAGCAGGTTAGACTGAGTCATGCGCAGATAGGGGTGAAACATGCACAGATTGCCCGGTATTTATAGTTTGTAGCGGTCATCCGTGTGCGTACTACGAACTATAAATACCGTGCAATCTCTGCACGTTTCATCCCTATCCGCGCATGACACAGAGTAACCTATGATTAAGGATTCCCGACGGAATCCGAAGCGTCAGGAAAATAAAACTCTTATTCTAGTGGTCACATCTTCTTCTGAACTGCATCCTGGAACTCGCATATTCACTTCTATAGGTACCAACAACTGTTAAAGAAATGCATATTACTTAATTATGCCTGAGAGAGTGTGAGACATCGATGCAACTGATTTTATATCATTGCGAAGAAAGTTCGGGTGGTGTCCGATTGGTGCGTTGCATTGTCCGAGAGAATGTCGTTTACTGTGGCTCATGCCGCGTCGACCGATGGGTGGGATGTTCAAGTGGCCCTTAAGCAGCTGTGACTATGCGGACGCGCGTGTGTGTGTGGAGTAGAAGTGGGCCAAGTTTCAGCAGGTCAGGTCCGAATCGATAAAATCGTAATTTTTTTTCCATTTCAGCCATCCGAATACAAATACTCAGTTACCTGCATGTTACCCATGTAAATTCCCGGTTGAAGCAGCTGATGTGGAACGGTTTATGGTCACGATGGATGGTAAAACAGTCATAACCATGTCAACAACTTCTGGACTTTCAGTAAAACTATGGAACATGCAGGTATGATACCTTTTGTTTAAATTTTTCCTTGATTACTTACTCTTTTCGCCTTAAATTTGACCTTTCAAATTTGATTTATCATGCATACTTAATCGACGCTTATCAAACAATACCAGGGTTTCTGGGAACCGATGTCTTCGGACTCCGTGCGAAAATAAATGTGGTTGTTGTCAAGTTTCTCTTGCCGTGAGAATTTGCATAAAAACTACTTGACTATTCAGACGATAGTGACAAAACAAGATCAGTTCACCGACGAGTTCATATGAGGATGGTTGTAGTAGCTGTATAATGAACCGGTCAAAATACGAACAAAAACACGTTTTTCCTGGATTTTCACCATACGCTTTTTGTGAAGCATGAATCAGTGACGATGAATTAGTGAAGGCTTGCAGTCCAAGTAGGGTTTTAGTAATCAATGACTACGACCAAAGCCTGTTAATAACAAGGGATCGCTGAGCAAATACTACTACGTAAACTAGCATATCTGCTCAAATAATGTCCTAGCTTTGCTAGAGTCTCTTGGGTGTCATAATTTACATTCAATAGGACAATTCTCCCCTAAGGGCTCGTAAGCCTGAACGGTTACTGCTTGAGAAGAAGAAGAAGACTCGATCTCTGGGACAATACGTTTATTAGTCTGACGTTTCGACATCTGTCGTGAATTTATCATCAGAGACATTAGCAGGAAAA